GCTGCTGCCGCCGCCGCCGCCTGGGCGCTCTCGCCGAAAGGCGCAGCCCGGAGCCTCGCCCGGGTTCTCGGGGAGCTTGTCCGGGAGCGGGCAGCGGCAGAGTGCCGCTGGTTCAGAGCGCACATCTCGGCTGTCGGCCAAAACCAGCTGCTTCGTTCAACTGCAGCGCCTGAAGTGTTGTGTTTTGTTTTTTTTTTTTTGGTTTTTTTTTTTTTTTTAATGGGAGACAGTGCTATGGATCCTGCTATAACTTAGTGATTTGTGCACGTTTAATAAATGCAGGTGTTAAATATTTTAGTGGTTGCAGGATAAGAGGATCCCTTCTACGGTTATGCGCATATCATCTTGGAGTCTGTACTGTCAGCGAACTTTCTTTTTTGTAAGAGATTCTTAGAGCGGTGGTTGTATTAACCATATGGAACACTGACTGGGTAATGTTGCGTATATGTACGCTAGCAGGAGAGAACATGTTGTTACTTACCACTATAAAATAATAAATACAAAGACACAACCAATTTGGAGAGTGTTTTTAGTTGTTAATACTGACAAGGAGTTAAATGAAAACTGCTGTCTTAAAATGTGTATGAACTAGAAACAGTACAGCTCTTTGTCCTTACCTAGACTGCTCATTTTGTATATCCTTTTTGAGACATTAAGTGTTTCTTTTATGAAAGTACTCCCTGTGAAGGCTATTTCACAAAATACTACTTTCTCTCTAAGCATTTTTTACTCCTTAGGTGTGCATTGCATTAAGATGTTGATGTTAGCGACTTAAGGCTGTTACCATGTTAGGGTGTAAACAGTTCTAGTTTCTCTGGTCCTTTCTGGGTAATGAGTATTTTGCTAGCGAGGTATTTTGCTCTTCTGACTATTTTTCCTTGCACCTTTTGCCGTACCATGTGTGCCGCTTTGTAGCGTCGGTTGTTACCAGCTTATTTCATGGGCTGTATTTCACAGGTATATCTTGGGAGCAGCTCTGGCGAGGAGATGAGTCAAGTGTGATTTGAGAAAGAAGGAGGAAGGGTTGGATCTTTGTGCTTTGAAGGAAAGAAGGCCTAGTGCTCGTCTTTGTACCTGGTGTGGTAGATGCCAGAATCACGCAGAAGCCTTCGGGTACTGAAGCGCTGCTGCTTGGGGCCCTTCCAGTGACAGCGGCTGGTGTGCTGGGGACACTTTGTGCCTACTGGATACCTTGTTCTCTTTGCGTGTCTGTAAATTACTGAGCAAGGGCCTCTGTTGGGTGCTACGCGCAAAGTCTCATTTATGTCTAAAAAATGGAAGCATACCTTAAAAAAGAGGCCAAGAATTTATTGTTAGAATAATTGAAATCTTAGGAGCCTAACGATTATTAGCCCAGATCTAATTGTTTCAAAAACAGAAAGAGCAATAATGCAGTTAAAGTAGTTACACTTACCATCTCACTGCTGCTCTGAGTCCTGAGGTCAGTGGTTTCATCCTGGTGGTGAGCTGTTACAGTGAGTCGTCAGCATCAGGTGTCCTTCACAAGGAGCAATACGATGGTTCATGTTGATGGTTTCATCTTAGCTTGCTAACATGCTTATATGCCTTTGCTCTTCATTGTTTTGCAGCTCCGTGTTGCATCCAAATATGTAAAAGGCACTATATATTAGATACTATTTCCTTCTTGTTTGTTAGCCCTAGAAACAGTTTTGTCCAGGTCTGCATTTCTCTTAGCCGACTGCTGGCGAGTTGTGGGGTGTCCAGTGCCGAGTGCAGTACAAGCCATCTCTGTTTATCCCATGCCTGTGCTCCTCTCTGCTGCATCCTGTGTCTCCACTGCTCAAGGCTCTGCTACCATACCAGGCCTGTGTTTCTCTACACTCCATCATTGCTGTAGAGTTGTGAAGATCTCATTCTATACGGAATAACTGCTTGCTACTGCGATTTATGTGAACCTATGGTTGCAACATGTCCAGGTAAATGAAAGTAGAACCGATTAGGCATAGGCGCTTGGTCAATTAGAGAAATTGCTATCACAGCTAAATCAAGTAAAAGTTGCAGGCTGGTCAAGAAAAGTTCAGCCAAAGTAAGCCTGGCAGGCTTTAGTCCTAAGGCCTTGCAAATGCAGTACAGAGCTAATGGACTGCGACTAGCAGTGGCAATACTATGTTACAGGGCCACATGGTTGTATGGCAATGGGAGGGATGATGTGGAAGAAGAATTCAAACAGAGATGTGTTTGAGAAGTAGGACAGGACAGTTAGACTGGGTATATTTTATAGCAGGGAGTCTGAGGGGATGGGAGTGAGGAGGGACCTGGAAGGCCAGTGACGTTTTGGAATAGGCTCTGTCTGCAGAGGTACCCCCATCATCTGGTGCTATTGGTTCTAGCTGACACCCCTGTCAATGTCAGGTTCCCTTGAGGGAGAGGCTGCATCACATGTTTGAACATGTAGCTTGAAGTTGGACTTCAGCATCCCCCATCAGTCCCCCTTCTGTTCCCAGCACAGGGAGAGAAGAATGCCACCGTGGAATCAAAGGCTTCCAGTCAGTTTTGTCTCCTGCATCTTCAGTTCTGTGCTCTGCAATGTTATTCATTTCCTCTTTCTTTTCCTCTCTTTCCTTCCCCAACAACTGTTGTAGATACAATCCCTTACATCCCTCTTGCAGCAGCTCAAGGGCATAATTTGCAGTGCAGAGGAAGCATGTGGGAAGATGCAGGTGGTATGTGTGTGTTGTGAATATTGGTTTGAGAACTGATGTGACAGGAAGGAGATTTTTGCTTGTCTTCTGACATAGTGAGACAAGTTACAGAAGGTACAAGTCATCTTTACCCTGCTTTTGTCCCCTCACCCCCATAGCTTTGACTTCTGTTGTGTAGTTTCTCCCTCCCTTGTTTCTGCTGAGTACGGTAGAGGTCATACTGATGAGTATTGGTATATAGCCGGGAAGTGTGCTGGTAAATGAGGGTGAGGATGAATTTTGTTATGGGAACAGGGTATCAGTACACAGGGACAAGACCATGAGTGAGATGATAGCTATGGTGAGCAGGGAAAGAATGGGAATGCAGGACCGTAGCCTGTTACGAATGCAGATTGCTACCTGAACAAATATACCTACAAATCTGTTTCTACTATACCAGCATCTGAGTTATATTCCTTTGAAACTCTCTTACTGACTCCTGCCACTTGATTGCTGTGCATCTGTCCATGGAGAACATATTTGGGTAGAATGATGAGATACATGGTATCTGTAGGAAAAACTCAGTGTGGTGTGTTAGAGAGGTGCTTTGTAAAGGTGGAGCGTGTCTTGGGTCATAAATAACTCCTAAGCCATATGGAAGTTGCTTTAATTGTTTCTTCTTTGGAATTTTTATGATAGTGTTGATCGCTCCTTTTCAAATGAAACTTAATAGCAAACCTTTCAATAAAAATATGAGGTATCTGAATTTCCTGGCTTCCCTAATGGAAGAGTGGGTGTTCTGATATGTAGTCTGGCTCCTCCTGGGAGTGATGAGTTATGCTTTGATTCTTGGATAGAGCTGTAAGGTGGCAGAAGGTATGTCAAGGTTCTCCCCTGCTGTCTTTGTGAATTTAGTATAGGACTTTTTTTTTTTTTTTTAATGTGTGAAGAAAGGCTGTTGTAAACTGCAGAACCGTACTTTGAATTCAAGCCTCAAACTGCTGCTGTAGATCTCCAAGTAAGTGTGCTATATGCTGTATGTTACGAGTTATTTCCTGCCTGGAATATGGGTCTTTCCCCTGATGGTGTTAGCTTTTAATGTGTTTTTCCTCTTCTCCCAGCTTTAAGTCATCTTCTTCTTCTCTTAGTAGTTTTCCTTAGCTTCCAGTAGGCAGTCTTTAGGTGTGTTTATTCTTGTGTCCTTTAATATTTGTGAACTGTTGCCTAGGCATACCACTCTGATCATTCATGCATATTGCTTTAGAAGTTACAGGTGCCAGTGGTGATTCTGCAGCCAAGAGTGAACACTGCTGCTAAAATAAGACTTACAGTGCTGTTGCTGATGCTATATATTGCTTTCTCTTCTGCAAATTAAATTGCTGGCATTGTCTACTAGTCATCCTATTTGGCTCTTTTTTGTTGGTGTGTTAAGTGAAATCTTAATGCTGTGTAGGAAAGTTCT